GAAAGTCAATTGGGACCTGGAATGATGTAGAAATGGGTAAAAGTGCACAGTAAACATCATCTGCACAGTAGCACTGGCCACCACAGCATGCTTGGCAGAATGTTAACAGGAAGAAGTCTCTAGCTGCATTTTGGGTCACTGTTTGAGGCTTCTAAATGAAAACTGTAAGTGTAAAAATAACTGCAAACCGCATGTCAAAGCATCGAGGAGTCTGACCGTCATTTTAATTTTGTAAAGCAAGCTCTTGTTCTGTTTAATGTTTCCCGAAAAAAACGGACTAGTTTCATCTCAGTGTAATGCAATGCACTCGAATCAAACAGGACACGGTTCTGTTTTTCAGCCCAGCAACTTAAAAAGGGACATTGTAAGTCAAACCAGGGAAGTTATTCTGAATCGCAAATGGAAGTCATTGAAAAATTACACTGAAATCACTGCATGTATTGCTATAATGTTGTTGTGAAATTCAAGTTCTTATGCATTCTGGGAGCTTATTAGAGTTTAGAATTTGATCCTATCCATCCAAAGCAAAAATAATATACAATAAACAATCACAGGTCAAATATGCCCCACTATCCAACATACAAAATGTTTCAACTCGTCACATGACATTGCACAATAAAAGCCAAAGTGTGTATTTAAATGTTGACAAGTTTTAACTGGAGGCTTGTACACACAGCAGGAATCGAAGCACAAAGTATATCCTGTAAGAACAAGACAAATCCAGTTCTGACTGTAATGTACTGGCTTCGTAACTGTAGCATTTACTGTATGCTGGTTGCCTTTTTGAAGAGTGAGAGCAGTTTCTAATGCATCCAAAGGTAGAATGGAGGTCAGTAACCACATAAAAAGCACAGTGTGTAATGAGATTAAGTACTGAATCCCAACATGTACAGCTCTTTTGAGCAGATAATATGAATCACTAAGTGAATGTTTGACTGCACCAAGACTATTTTCTGTCTTTTTATGCTCTAGAAATTGGCAGAAAGTCAAGAAACCGGGGCACAATTTGTTCTTTTCTTCCCATGGTTCTTTCTCAATCTTTTCATAAAGCAGCAGCACCCGGGCAGTTTCTCTCGCAGCAGGGCAGGAGTTCACGGATCTTACCCCATCCATTTGTCTGTGTGCACATGTGTCTTGTGCTCATATTGGGGCCCATGCCTGTAGTTTGTCATTCAAATTCTTGATAGTAAAGCCAAAAATATCAAGAGGATTAACTAGATATTTTCACATTAGACACACATTTGAATCTTGCATATAATACCCATAAAATAACTCAATCACCACATGTTTTGGGGCACAAAGTTAAGGTAAATGTGGGTATATTGATATGTTTTTTTTGCCTCTTGACTAAACACCATATGTTTGAAACACCCCTCCATGCCATCAATATCAGAGTACAGTGTGCAAGACAGGCATGCAGGGGCCACACAGACAAAAAGTCAATTTGTTCAGAGCTCTGCACAAAAGACGCCAGTTGCTCAGCAGAGAGAGGCCCCTACTTGAAGAGGACAGGCCGTGATGCATGTGTCTCCGCCTGCAATCCCTCCTGTGGCGCTGCAGTGGGTTTTCATTGTTTATCTCCTGCTAGCTTGTAAGAGGGAACTAATTAAAAGCTGCCTGCAGGTGGCCCATGCAGGCTTTTACAGGTCTGAGAGGACACAAGGGGGAGGAGGAGGAGTGGGCGGAGAAGCTGGGCACACCCAGCAGGAGGAAGGGCCGACTGCCTCAGGTCACAAGATGACAGATATTACGGATCTGGTGCTGCTAAAGAAAAACCAAAAGGAACTATTTGTGGGTACAGGCACAGAGAGCATGTAGAAAGATAGATAGGACACATTCTCTGCAAACAGATACAAAGGGCCTTCCTGTTTTTCTGGCCTAAAAGGTGTTCTTGGAAACATAAAGTCATTTTCCAAGAGGTTGAATGTCCATCTGCTTTGTGGTGGATTTAAGAACCGCAGCCCGGCTATGGTTTCATATGATTTCATTCTATAGCCAACCAGTCAATCTTAGAAATCAACCACAAAATGAACTGTTCACACACTGTATCTGAAGCGATCTGAATCATAGCAAATCAAGCCTCATTTACACATGCCAAAGTAAACAAATAGTGAAGAAAGTGTTTACAGTTTGAAGGGAAAGAGGATGTTGATGGTAGGGGAACAAGTGTATGTTTTTTTTCTTCTATTTGAGGTATTTTGATCAAATCCAACAAATCACCATACGCTGGTTTAAACAAACAAACAAGGCAAACATTCAGTTTTGTCTTCTCAGGGGGAAAAGGAGCATGCTTGTGTGTGTTATGTAGGTGTGTGTGTGTATGTTTTGGGTTCAGAAGAGCGAAGACATGATTGCGTGCGGACGCTGCCCTGCACCACTTCCTCTTCAGAAGCCCAGAGACGTCACAGCCAGCTGTATTGATGCCTCTCACACATGTCAACACACACACACACACACACACACACACACACACACACACACACACACACACACACACACACACACACACACACACACACACACACACACACACACACACACACACACACACACACACACACACACACACACACACACACACACACACACACACACACACACACACACACACACACACACACACACACACACACACACACACACACACACACACACACACACAGGCTGATTTTGGGGGTAGTAGTGTGCTTCCACAGAGCCAAAACAAAGGAATGTTCCAGTTAGTTCTGTTAAAAAAGTGATAGAGGAACCACAAACGTAGAATAAAGGCAGTTTGAACAAACACCAACTTTCACTGAAGAAAGTGCCAGCAAAACTCTCAATTCTATATCTAAAACAACAGTAAAACTGATGCAGGGTGTGTGTGAATAACCTCAGGCAGTATGGGTGGATCTGGTAAACTTGTGCAGAAATCCAGATAAGGATGCTAATGACATGCACATGACTTGGTGGCGTGACACCAGGAGCTAAACAAACCAGTCATGGAAATGTGCCCAGGATGGCCCAAATCTGAGCCAGGCTCCTACAGCTGAGTGAAGAGTGACAGCAGCTATTCAACACCCAAAGGTCCAACAACCACATGCAAACACAAATGGTCAGACAAACATACCAAAAAAACAATAAATAAGACATCTACAAAAATGAACATATGAACATGAGATCACACAGGCTGAATTGTCTTTTAAGGATTACCATTCAACTCATTTTAAAACAGGATATCGTTTGTAAGAATATCTGCTCAAGGGACGTTCATTTTGAACCGACTGGCAGAATGTTTTTCTACTAATCATTTCATGCTTTTTTTTGCAAGGCTCATTGAAAGTTGACTTTTTAGAGAATATGACGCATAGCTAAAGATTTAACTTTGCAAGAGTTTATAAAATATATACTATTAGCACAAGCTTTAAGATTTACAGCAGTAGCAACAAATAATACTTGCTTGATACTTAAAGCAAAAACCAGACTTCCAAAAGCGATTGGTTTCATAAAAAGAAAACGGAAAGAGCCAAGGCATTAAAATATGAAAAACTGCAATCAAATGTTCCGGGAGTGGCGCTCATATCAAATTCAAAATGATTAATGGAAGTTTGAGTGGTGGGGAATGGTTTCTGTGATTTCTTTGGTATATCAAGGATGACATTTTCCATGCTCTCCCTTTGACCAGCAGATAAGATCAGGGCAGACTGAAGGATGGAGGGGTAGAGAAAAGGGACAAAATAAAGAAGAAGGAAAGTATGAGAGCCTGCACAGTGACTCGTGGAGAAAGAGTCCTGGAGCAGAGCCACTAATGGGCAGGTCAAAGGCTGCCAGGAGAGAGAAGAGGCGTTCGCTGCTCACAACTCTTGTTTTACTGTAAAAATGGGTTTGTTATTGTTATTTTTACATTAACAAGTTATTATCCTTAAGATATAACCCTAACCCTAACAAACCCATTGACACCTTAAGGGAAAACCCAGAAATATAACAGAAATGAAAACATGGCAAATATATATATACACACACTAAAAGCACATACAAAGGATAAACTGCAATATTAACCCTTCACTACATATGAGCCTCACCTCAGGCGTTATGGATTCACCCTCATCTATATTAATGAAAGGGAACAACAAACCACACACAACATCAACAACATAGCAGGCCCAAGGAGCATGTCGTCTTTTTTAAAGCCCATAATAAAGTGAAGCATCTAAACCTTCTGCATGTGGTCCTATAGGACTTGGCATTACCTGCCTGCGCAGTATAATCAGCTAATCTGTATGCAGTGAAGCTCCATGACTCGCTCCCAGGGAAAGAAACTACAGCAGTCTCCCACTCCTGGGATTAAGCCAAACAATTGTGTTGACTTATATGTGCAAAGGATTTCCACTTCTGCTACAATGTGAACACGTGTAGTAAATGTTGATAGAGTTTACTTGGGAAATTAAATGTGGGAGCAATGTTTTGTTGATACCGGGGAAAAGGCAGAAGATGGTAGAGAAATAATGGGGAGGAAAGTGCTTTTAGTAGCATTTGGTGACATGCTCAGTTACAACACGTTAACAAAAGCAAATACATTCAGAATTACATTTTAGTTTCCGGGGTCAGAGGGAGGAAGGAATCTATTTGCATTTCAGCAGTAAACAGTAGCAAATTCTTAGTCCTATAAGCATCTGTTGACAAGCCATCCGGTACCTTAACATTTCCTACAACCTATTGAGAGGGATTTCTTTGACATTTCCCTCAAGTCTAAAAGGATAATCCCCTTTATAACTCTCTGTACCTGATACAGCCAAGGCCCTCGAGAAGTCTCTTTAACCCTCGAGAGAGTTAAACAAAACGACTTCATTTAGAGAGCAGCTAGAGGGGCTCTCTGCTCTGACAAAAGGCCTTTAGGTACTACCACAAGTAGGGAAATCACTGCTATATGTTCAAGAGAATGGAGGTCAGCGCAGGGTGATGGATCGGAGGGAAATTGGGGGCTGCAAAGAAGAGCAGCGGAGACATTTTTAGGGACTTACTGCAGTTTCACCACAGGCGGGGGAATATCCTCCACCATGAAGTCCAGATCGTCGGTTAAGCTGTTAGTGCGGGAGATGTCGATGGAGGTGCTGTTATCATGTTCCTTCCTCACTGCAAAGGACAGAGATAACAGATTATAATTACAATTCATTCATAGTTGGCCATGTAAACTTGGTACATGTTTAATTCTGTGTTTTTATTTATTATTTTGGATTGCAAAGAAAAAGGGGTGATTGTTGCAGTGCATAACTGGGAAGCTAGCAGATACATGAACAATTATTCAAGTAAATATAAATGCACATAGATTACATGATAGAGGAATACATTTAAAAGTTACTTTAAATGATGATGAGAAAAAAGGAAAAAGAAAGATACCTGGAGAGCCAGGGCAGCTCAGAGTGTAAGCCGACCACGAGTGTAGAGGAGGGCCTGATTCACGCAGAAAGAATTTAAAGAAGAGAGAAGGGGGAAAAGAATAGAAGGGAAGAAAATTGAAACAAAAGGACTTCATAGTGGGTTTATTTTCATTATTCAACCATTTGATGTAAAATAAATTCTGTTATTTTAATATGTCTGCTGTTGGAGAATATTAGGGATGCATATTTTGTAAGGTTTATATGAGGAAACAGAAAGTGCAGTCCTGCAGTTCAACAGTGCCGCTGGCTGGCTGCTGGCACGGCTAAAAACAACATGTGTAGCAGGGTCTTGACCTGCCGTCAGACTGTCAGCGGCCGAGTTTGACGAGTCTCTCCACCGAACCACCAGGCCTCCATTGTGATAAAGAATGGAGAGGCAGAGCTGTATGAATGACCAGTCCAATTCAAGCAAAAATCCATTCAACCTCTTGCGTATTCCATCATCGAGTTTGTTTTAACATTGTCAAATCCGGAAGCAGAGAAAGAGATTGAGAGAGGGAGAGTAGAGGCAAGGAAGGAGAGAAAGAGAGTGGAGGAGGGTAACCACCAGCCACCTTTAGCCTCGGCTTCAGTTCAATGAAGGAGACGTGAACTGGCTTATCGGCTACACTAACAGGATAAGGGTTTATTAACAATATGCAGTTTTATCTGGCCCATCAGTGCAAATGTGTTTAGCTGGGAGAGTACGAGCCAATGGCAGGAGAGAAAGGGAGGCAAACTAAGTGCAGAGAAAAAAAAGGACAGACAGAGAGAGACAGAGAGGGTGCTGCATTGAGAGATTCTCACAGACAGGGAGGAAGGTGGGGCCAGACAGATAAGTGGAGCGATAAGCCGGACACTGACTAAATCAAACAATGAGCAGTTTATTTCTGACCACTGGAGCTCCACAATGGCCGCTTATCATCAACTCCACAACCCCCCCCTGCTCTATTTAGTGTCCCAGTCTGGGTCCCCGTGGTCCCCTAGGCTCCTGTCCAATCCTCTGGTCCTTGCCCATGGAGCTGGCAGGACACCCGGTAAAGAAAACAGGCCGGGTCAACCCAGGACCGAGTGTGAGTCTCTCTGCTTGGCTCTGGTTTGGTCCGGTTGGGGACAAAGGCCCAGCCAGCCAGTGAGTCTAATTAAAATACTGTCTGGGCCACATTGAAAAAGGCAGCCGAGCTAATGATTAACACAGAGAACTTTTTAATGGGAGAATGAGAAGTACTTAAACAGTAAAAGGGTGATTACATAATGCGCTACATTCTCAGCCTTTTTTTACAACACGAATAATATATAAAAGAGTCTTAACTGCTGTTTTCTTGTCACTTAATTGTGTGCACAGCTTATGCCTTAACATGCAAGATTATGTAAAGGAATTCTGAGGAAGCTACCATGCGACCAGAGTGCACTCAAATATTTGTAGACATCATCTCTGTGACAAAATGTCATAACCCATAATCCCTGGAAATCCCATTTAGTGCACATAATTGTGTGGATTTAGAAGGACTAAACATTCTGAACATTCCGGTCTTTCCTGCAAAGAAAAGCGGAAATATTATTAATATGAGACTGCAACATGGCTGAAGTACACAACTATGATATGTCCTCTGAACATATGAAGTCAACAATCCCTATCAGTTCCTGCTTTGCAACACAACTGTTTTTAAGGAGACTTTTATACTTGACATTATACATTTCTTTGACTGTTGCTAAGCACTCCATTTGATTTGTTTATTAAAGCGGATATAATCTATATTTTTATAGTAATAGTGTATGAAATTATAAAATTAGAGACATGTATCATCTGAAATCAGCTTTACAAAGTTGTATAGTGACTTTCAGCTCATTGCTTATCCGTCTGGCTGGCAGCTTTACTGTTTATGTACACTCTTAATGCGCTTAATGCTGTTGTTTTTGGCCACAGCAGGCAGCTGTTTTCAGTCTAACAACCTACTGTTCTGCACCAAAAAGAAGACAAACTCAGTTAACGACAAATACCTTGATATTTCCCACAGGAGTGAGTATAGGCAAAAAACAGAGCTACAAGAAGAGAACATATTGGACTTCCATTCCCCAGGTGGACAGAAACCAAATGAATTTTAAAGTTGCTCTGTAAGCAGTGGATGTATAAATAAGCAGATGTTTGCCATATCAACTTCAAATATGACGATTTGTCTGCTGCATTCAAGTAAACAAAGAAGTTTAAAGAGAAAGAGATTGTCTTTTTATCCATATTTCCTTTAAAATGCTTTACTTTAATTAGTTTACAAACAACCAAACCGCATACCCGTGCAGCCTACTGTATATTAGCTGACTCATTAACCTAAACAAAATCTAAATTAAACTAGAGTGCTATATAGGAAAATTGTTCTATAACTCAAACACAAATCATGTGTGTGTTAGGCTTACATTACTCTTTGAAACAGTGATTGTGGTTAAAACAAGCATCACAGACACAGTTGCGGACAGTTGACATTGCAGATGCCTGTTTTATGGCTGGATCTGAAGCAGAGATCATACAGTCTCCTGCTGTTTCAACTCTACACATCATCATTAGAGACAGCAGGCTGCCGGCTCTGGCTTCTTCACATGCTTTTATGTCATCCCACAGCATGGCCAAATCCCTTTTCCACTCCATAGTCTCAGCACGAGGGGTTCAGCATATTTTACTACTATCTAACCAGTTTCTTGTGATTGCTTTTTCCCCATTTAAATGCAAGACATATGTTTTCCTTCGTTATCTAAGATCCTCCCAATTAAGCAGGAAACAACATTTCCTCTCATAAGTGGTTGCTCTTCTAGAGATCGTCTGCCTTTATGTCAAGTGTATGTCACTACAGCTCCTTTTAATGATGGCACGCTTTGACAAGGAAAAACTCATAAAGTGGATTTATTAACCTGGAGTCTGGGTCAATTTATTTGAAGAGGATAGCTTTTAAGACAGGAAGTAAAACCCACTGCAGGCAGCTATCGATCTCATATGTGCAGAGGCCTGCATTGAAAAAATTAAATATATTGTTATGTCCAAGTGCTGGCATCAAGTACGAACCACAATAATCTGTAACGATCTAAAAAAAAACACACCTAATTTAGGGTTTGGCATGTTTGAGTGCAGCAATACCGTAATCCGCACGTAGTATAACAAATAATTCCCACTTGTAACCTTGATAAGAGCCTATTTTTAAGTTTTTCCACTTAAGCCCAGTGTGAGTGTCTGTGGAAAGCAGAGGGGACAAGAGAAGCAGTAAAGAGCTTGTAACCATGACCTCTAATCACCACTGAGGGTGTAATGGCTTCCATCTGGCCTGCTGATGACACCTGGCAGCCATCTTGGCCTTAAGAGGATCAGAATAGGACCTCGGTTTACTGTGTGAAAATGAGAAACCAGCACAAAACAACTCGTCCCATAATGTGTAAAGATCTTCAGTGTTTGTATGAACTGAGAGAAACAAACTGCAATCTTTTGCAAAAGACTAGCTCCAAAATGTCCAAAGAGGTTGTCTATTCTGCAACGACTAACTAACTCTAACGACTATGTGCACAAAGACAATATCACATTGATAGGACTGGCTCTGTAAGCATGTGCTTGTGCTTTTATTTACACCCATATATAGCATGTCTGAGAGAGTTTTAGCCAATAGTGTACATAAATAATGACTACCTTCTGTCAACGCCAGATCTGCTCGCATATGTTACATGTCTTACCAATATAAACCTCCACATAAAACAAATAATGAGATGATTCAGTTATTAGGATTTAGCATGACATGTAGTCACGCAGCAGCAGCTGCAGCACTGAGTGAACTTTCTCCAAGTGTGAACGCCTAACTGACAGAGAAAAAAAACAATTCTCGCTTCCAGGTTTTGACGTCAAACTAGTGTAAATGTGTTCAAATAAGTGCATTATTAGATTTGTTTTTTACAGAGATTCACTATGAGAAACGCTTTTAAACACAAAGCTACAAGCTGAAGGCTAATACTTTCAAAGCAAATGCCATAAAAGTGTTATTCATCATGGAGTTGGAGCTTATTCTATTACAATATCCTGAATGCAAAAACACGTCACATTTTTACTGAAATAATGGATTTCCAAGGCCTCGAAGGCCACATGACATCATTTAACAGCCCTTTACAAACGTTATTTCATCAAACCAAACTGTGTTAAGAGGATGAGATAAAAAGTGAATTACTGTGGATAAAGCAGCAAAGCTTTAAAGCGTAATCAATGCAATTAAAAAAACACCTTCAAAAACGTCCCATATAAAACTAAAACACGGCTTTTGAAGTGTTTGAAATAAAAGTGCCGTTATGAAGAGCTCCAAAATGAAGTCAGTTTATTCGAGGAGTAATAAAACAGGGCTCAGTGCTTGCATGGGTTATCTTGGCGAGTTGGCTTGTCTGGGAGTTGTTGGAAACAAGGCAATATACAAAAGAGGTAACCCGATTTTATCTGAAAAACATGGACCTAAGACTGAAAATGCTATGTGTGACAATAACCCTAATACCTATTTGATATCAGTTTAAATACTGTACACTCTTTAACATAAGAGCAGAGCTTTTTCCCAGTGCATTACCTTCATTATTGTCTCTTTGCCCTCCCAGGAAATATGGGACGTCTTTCTTCTCCTCAGAGTCGTCAATATGATCGTAGGTGATCTGGGGGATCGATACAGCTTTATCTGTGGCAAGTCCCATAGAGCCATTTCCTCTGGACTTCCTCCTCCTCTTGGTGCCCCTTCTCTGAAAGACAAAATAAACGTTAACCCAGTAATTAAACAAGTAGTGTGTTGTTGATTCAATTCTAAATCACATACAATAGATTTCTAACTTCACGCAATCGCTCTGAAAATTAGTTCAAGCTATATCGTGTACATCCCAATAGCCAGTATTTGTAGCCAGGGCTCAGTTCTTCACCTGCCATTCAACTGGCAGTACAACAGACAACTAAACCTGTGTGGTAACATTGTGGTGGTCCTATAGTACTTACTGAGCTCATCCACCAATTGTTCACCAGCAAGCGTCTTTCACTGTTCTGTATCCAGTGCACTTTCACTAATCGAGGTAGGGTCCCTCTGTCCAGAGATGCAAATCCACAGAGCACGTCATTTCATATTTGTATTTAGTTATTTTGCTGCGTTTTGTGTATTATCTGTGCAGACAGGCATGTCAGTGATGTTTTATTAGGTATCAACCACCAACTATACAAATATTTTAGAAATATGGAATAGTATTACAGATTCATGGCCTGCAGCAAAACCTTTTATTTTAGACACCCTTGTTTATAGCTTAGAGCCTCCCGCATCACTTTGCACGCTAATGCTTTCAATTACAATTGTTTTCTCTGAACGAGTGAACTAATCCAGCCATTATAGCAAAGGGATAAAAAAAACGATGCTTAGCCAAACACAATGAAATTACAAATCACCTTTTTGTATTTTAGTACCTGTAAAATTCCCATTTTTGTTATAGGTCATTATCTCACAAAATGTGCTTGCACGCTGGTGACATCAGTGGTATGAGATTAATCTCTTCTTTTAGATCATAGCTATGTGCTGTGTGAGTCAGTGAGTTTCTGAGGATATAAACAGTGCCTCCAGCCCACTCTTTACACCCGCTGACCAACACTAACGTCATGGATGTGGAAACTCAATTATTTGGACTCAGTGGATCAGACATTGGCACTGACGAGAGGCCAGCAGTTCAATCCAAATACCCGAGGTTTGAAAGACTCATTAGCAGAGAGGGTGAGAGAAGGAGGTGGTGGTGGATGAAAGATAGAAGGGCATGAAGAAACTGTAACAAAACACTGAGAGAAAAAGCATTGCGAACAAGAATGAGAAATAAATAGACAAGCCAAGAGAGGGGCAGAGGAAAAGAGACAGGAAGAGCAGGGAAGAAAAAGACAGTTTAAAAAGAGAAGAAACTGGACAGGAATCTTGAAAGCCAGAGAAAGGGGAGAGAGAGGAGAGTCAGTGGAGAAAGTCACATGTTGAAACAGAAAGGAGCGGAAGCAGCCTCCATTCTCCCCAATACATTTGGGTTCAATGCTACACAAAGATTTTTTTGTTGTTGTTCTACTAGACAAAGGTTTACTCCCATGAGAAAGGCTGCGGTGACATCATCTCAACTGACTGAGTCTTTGTCCCGCGGACACAAAGGCCTCAAGTCATCCTGGTGGAGTCAGGCCTTCGGGGAAGAGGGGGGTTCGCTGTGTGTATGTGTATTTGTGTGTGTACGTTTGTGGGAACTTAACTTGCCCTTTTATGCTGTCTGGCCTATGCACAACATAGCTAATATTGTTGAGAAAGGTGAGCAGGCACAATACGATGTGGGCCACGTATGCAAATCTGCTCTGCATGATGACAGGCTGAGAAAAGCTCTTTTGTGGACTTCTTGATGTTCAGCTCCTCTCAAAGCCTTATTTCACATGTTTACTTAATGTCCTTTATGAGAGGTACGACATATATTAATTGCTAGTTCACAATGAAATGTCTACAGCTAAAATATTAATAAGGAGATGCATCTATGATCTGGGTGCTATTTTTGTTTAGGTAAGGGTTTCACCATCATTGGATTGATCAACGTCACTGTATACATTTGTCATAACCCGGCTCATAGGGTTAGAAAAACAGGTAAGTACACAGTGTTAAGGGTAAAGTAATGTATTTATTATAATTAAATATACAAACCAAGGGAAAGCTACCAACATGAGGTGTGTGTGTGTGTGTGTGTGTGTGTGTGTGTGTGTGTGTGTGTGTGTGTGTGTGTGTGTGTGTGTGTGTGTGTGTGTGTGTGTGTGTGTGTGTGTGTGTGTGTGTGTGTGTGTGTGTGTGTGTGTGTGTGTGTGTGTGGAATGTAGTGTGAGGTGTTGCATGCACAACCAAAGATAAGGCCAAACCAAAGCCAAACAGTGGAAAAAAAAATATATATTTATATAGAATATATAAAATAGTGTCCATGGTTGTACTTAAAGCCTATAGCAGCAACAAAATGCATTCAGGGCGGTGCTGCCATCCATGGAGGACCTTTACTCCCAGCGGCTCAGGAAGAAAGCCCTCAGGATTATAAAAGACCCCCATCACCCCAGCCACATACTGGTACTGCAGCATCCGGAGTAAAACCACCAGACTCAGGGACAGTTTCATCCGACAGGCAATAAGACTGCTAAACACCTTAACTGTTGAAGCAACATCCCTAATATTCATCTGGCTGCTACTTAGAAATGATTTATCTATTTATCTAATATATCATATTCCAATAACTTGCATATAGACTCTTATTGCACTATTTCAAACTATTTTTCTTTTTGTATTTACTATTTACTATATTTTTCTGTTTACCTGTTTTATTGTGAGGAGCCTGTGATCTAAGATTTTCATCGTCATCACTAGACTGTAGCTATGTTCGTACGACAAAATAAAAAACCTTGAACCCTTGAACCTTTTATGTTATAAAGGAAAGACTTGTCCAATATTTTGTGAAAAGAAAGTTATCCTTTCTAAAAAGCCATGAGCCACACAACACCTCTGGCTTTTCATTTAAGGTAAACTGGAAAATTACCGTGAGGTTTAGCTTCCTGATGTTGGGGCTGATGCTGTCGGTTTCCACCGTGGTGACCACCTCTGGAGTTAGAACGTACATTTTCCATGTGACAGCACAGCCGTTTGGTTTCTCCGCTGCATAGCACCTCCAAAGTGTCTGAGAGGACGGGTGATAGCACAGAATAAGTGTTAGTGTGTATGCCGTGACTTACATAACATGCCATCATTGTCAGATTTTCCTCAATGTCCAAAAATGTTTACCTTGGACTACGGCAGTGATGTAGCAATATTAGCCACTAATGTTTTCACATGTAACAAGCACTTTATTATGCACTAACCTATGAAAGGCGCTGTACAATCGAAGTAAATAATATTCAACAATGCTTTAACCTTTATATCGGCAGTTCTATTATAACCATTGTTTAATCACACAAAAACATTTTTCATGGAGTGGATTTCTGCACAAGGTGTCTTTGTGTCACAAGTGTCTAGACCATCTGTTGTTGTGCCTCAGTGTGTTCGGGTAATTGTAATCTTTGTAATGGTTAGTTTTGGTACAACATAGCTGCTTATTCGTCTACCGTTTCACACTTGGCAAGTAAGAGAGAGCTCACCTTTCCCATGGCTCAGTAAGAGCTTGCAGACAACAAATACCGTTGCTCTTTAATTCTCAGTTTCCAGTGTTTCCTTTCACTAGCGAGATCAAGAAAGTGCACGCTAGAACTTATAAAAACAATCAACTTGAGAATGTGTTGCCATGCCTATTGTACAACACAAACTGCAGTATAAGGAACATGTGTCTGTTGGTAAATCATTGTGAACTGTGTCTGACATTGTTTTGAATGTATAGCTTGTTGATTACTACACTACATTTTCTAAGGCTGAGATGCCTTATGTGGATGCTCAAGTGTACCTGTATGAGGCAGGCTGCAGCAGGGATCTGTCTGTTGAAATGCTTCTGTCTCTGCTTCTGCTGGACCTTCAGGGCGAAGCCTGAGCCCAGGATACCCTACATCACAAAGAATAAAGTTGCAAGAGAACAGATTGGAATAATGTTGTAACATTTAGGATAGATGTTGGAAATATTAATGTAGAATCTCACAAATATAATCTATTGAAAACAAAGATGGAGACAAAAATGATCAATGTGCTTCAACACAGATAGCACTGCTTGAGTCAAAACGTTGGAATAAGATTGAATTTTTCTACTGTTTTTCCATATTTCCTACTGATCATGAATTTTGTTTGATTCAGAGTGAAATGATATTTACAGCAGGCAGAGCGAAGAAGGAGATGGCGAAGACACTGAAGCAGGAAGCAATGGCCTTCCCTATCCACGTCTGAGGAATTTTGTCTCCGTAGCCGATTGTAGTGACAGTCACCTGAAGACAGAGAGTGGATTAAGTTTCTCTTACATCTCATAAAACGATCATCAGACAGAATGCAAGAGAGACATTCAATAATACATTACCCTGCCCTTTACTGGTGATGTTGAAATTAGAGGGTGCCTGTTCATTATCCTGCCTTAACCCTAGATTAACCTTACTGAGGCCTGTCCGCTCTAAGAGTATGAAGTGTTATTAATTCATTTACTGCTTTTTCATGCTGAATGACTTTTTGTCCCAAGACATTTATGAGCACATCTGTGGTTAACATAAGATTTAAAGTCGTGCTTTGGCAATTTGGCATGATTCTTTGTGGAGAATCTACATTTTACAGATTTGTCCATTAAATCAATTGTATAAATGTAATTCGACTAAGAATTACATACAACTTAATTCAGAGATATATAAAAATTCTCTCCTGTAATGAACTACTGACGTAATGAGATGTCAGTGAATGCACAGCTCTCGAAGCGTTACCACAGCAGTCTATAACACAAGATAATAGAGAGAAAGTTCATCAGCAGTTCTGGCCTCGCTCCACCACTGTCAGCGAGGGCGGGGCGTTTGAGGCTCTTGCTCCTCAAAGGGAATAAGATTCCCAACCGCTTATCCTCAGTGAGTGTAGGAATGTGCCGGGTTGAGGGGGGAAAACAAATACCTCTTGCATTTGCATGTACACCCACTCTGAAAGCCGAGCCAATTCTGACACATTCAGAAGACTCTTGGCTTACCTCGGTGTCTATGGAGTATCGCCGCGTGAGCCGCTGTTGTGCGCTCACACAAAGCAGCTGATGTAAGGTGAGATACTTAAAAGGGCTTTGGGAGTAAAAAAGAAGGAGTAAGGGCGGGAAGGGCTGGATGTAAATTGGGGGCGGGTGGAGAGCTGGGGGATTTAATCCCTCATCCACAAATCCGATGACTAAACAATGTCCTCCTGACCATCAGAGTGGAATGGTCTACTCAACAACACCCCTCTCATTCAGGAAGAAAGGGTGTGTGGCAGAAACCTCCTCATGTCTAAACAAAGGTCACAGACCTGGTCTTTGAATGTGTTTAAGAGTGTAAGTGCACTTATTTATGCATGCATGTTTATAAATGTATGTATGAATGTTTTACTGTATGTGTGATAACGTGTAATTTGGTTAAAACTACAAAATGGCGAGGTTATTACTATCAGCTCCAGTGGTGGAACATTTACTCAAGAAGTAAAGTAAGTATTTGTACTTAACTTGAGTATTTTACTTTCCTGCCAATCGACTCTATTACAACTCAAAGCTAAATATTGAACATTTTACCCAACTATATTTATTTAAATATATTCAAATGTGTCTTGTTATAAATTAAAGTACCCAACAGCTTGTACAAGAATAGCTTTTTGATAGATGAAGAGAAAGATAATTGGCTTCTATAAACATTTAAGTCATGTTTCAGAGTTATTTTTGAATCATGACCCATCGGTAGATTTTGGTGATTGACACCTCTTTTGAACAGTAAGAGCCAATAGAATTGAGGGGAAGTTCCTAAATCCATCTAAACATTACCATGGGTGAATGAGAGTGATGCGCAGCCAGCATGCCCAAAACCAGAAGCTGGGTTACAGCTCTCATACTGTACACTCTATATGAAAGCTACTCTTATTGACATAAATGTTATAATGGATTATCAGTAATCATTTCAAAGAGACACATTGGATTACCCTTCAGCAGCGTTTATATGCGTTTTAATGTCCTTGAACACAGAAAAACAGCAAAGGTAAGACGTATTGGCCGTTTTGGCCCTGGAAAGCTAAGTTGTGTGTTGTCTGGGTTTGCCTTCGCGAGTTTAGGTCGCACAGTGATGATACTTATGCCATTGGAATCTGTGGAATCTCAGCTTTCATATGATATTTAGTTGATGTTCAGATCCGATGAAGTATACAATATTTCTACTGTGAGTTATGTGCTAAGTAAGTTAGCACCCTTTCGCTTAGTGCTAATTCAGAGGCTTGGCGTTAGACTTTCTTCCCGTTAAGTGGGTATGACACATTAAATGTTAAGAAGCCCTGAGACACAGTTTCGTGAACATTTCGTGAAGAAAAAAAACGGTTAAACTCGGAACATTGGGGGTAAAGGCTTTACAATCTCACGGTCAGTCAGAGAAACACAAGACCCAAATAAAAAATCAATTACAAACGCCTTCCATCTCTTCTGTTTTCGCCAACGCTTCGGGAGCATCAATTGTGTCCAATGTAGCATTAGCTAGTGTAGCAGATCCCGCAACAACATATGCTGTTATGTTCAGTCATCGTTCTTATGTTGAACATTTACATTTACTTTGTAAGCAATTATGGGACGTATTTCTTCTTTCTTAGCAATTTTCCTTCATACTTTCTTGCCGTTAAATAGGTCATAAATTATATTCAAAGTGGTCTTAAAAAGTCTTACATTTGAGTTGGTGAAACCTGCAGGAACCCGGTATTTAACATTTGTAATGCAGGACGTTTACTTTTCATTGTTAAATCTTTACAATGTGATATAAGTACTTTTACAAAAGGATCTGAATATCTTTTCCACCATCAGCTATCAATTTCCTCATTTTGTATTTAACAGTGTTTCCTGGGTAAAGGTAGTTCAAATTAAAAACAGCCATTTCCTAACCATTAGCAATTGGCAGGAGAGGAACAGAGGCAGGGAGAAGGGGATATGAATCATGGCATTGGCTTGTCCTCCCGCTGAGCCCTGCACCTGCACCTCCGAATGTGGAAATCATGCCAAGAGAAGGAATACACGCTGGAGGAGCTTAGCATTCTCCAATCATTGCAATCTATTTCAGAAAAGCGTACACCCTAAACCATTGTAATGGCATATCATGGCTCTCAAGTTTACAGTCTCAGAAAAACAAAAAAGGTGCTAATCCCCAACCCTGATTATTTTCTCAACATTGTGATCAGAGCAACACAAACAACAGCTTTTTATTCAACGTTCCATAGAGCAGTGAAGAACACTGTGACCCCTCTAACCCTTGTTACATAAAGGGCAGTAATCCCACAATTAAAGTTTTAATTAAGGGAACTGACACTTTATATTGGTGCTCTAAAAGTTCTTTGAGGCAAAGAGCCCAGAGGTGAATGGTTTATTACCGTCTCTTTGTGGCGTGCTGATCCCCTGCACAAGGCAGCCATAGGTCTCTCATTACTCTGCGCTTTCAATTCAAATGTTTAATTAACTGCTGTGGAAACCTGAGCCTCCAAACTGAGGGGAAACCAGCTCTACGCACGAAAAGCATCAACACACCTGCATCTGTGTTGAGTGTTGCATGATGCATGCTACACGAAGAGCCAATGAGGAAAATAAAAACACAAGGGGGCTAATAATTGGTCTAACTAGGGTGGGCCGGCGTCTCATTTTCCCTGTTCAGACTTCACTTGAGAGGGCATTGTGCAGAGTCTTTGTTACGGAATTTTAGAGAGAATAATCTTTTCTCATGTCCATATGATTTGGCCTTTCAAGTATGGACGCTACGTCGGGAAACTCAAGTAGTATTCAAAGTTTAAAGTAATATATGCATTGGAAAAGACACAAGGTATAAAATTAAATAGACTGTAATATGGCTGGGAATACCGAATCCAGATTCTGGGAACAATTCTGCTGGAAGAACATAATACGATATTTTGTCACTCCAAAATGTAAATCTATCCAGCAGGGTTCTCAGGAACTGGGTAAATGTTGGCGGCATTGTGGCAAACCAATGCCAGTACACTTTTATATGTTTTGGTGCTCCACTTTAATCATTGGCAGAAATGAAAGAAAAAAACTATTAATCTTGGAATGTATGTTGAAAACTCTTTTGTCAAATGATACCTGACAATAATCCAGGACAAACTCATGGCACAAGATGAATACCTTTATGAAGCACTTTTCTTTTTGAGCAAAAAAGCCATCGTAAACTGCTGCAGGAAGACTCACCACCTAAGGATGACTGCTTGACAAATTTCAATGAAATATGGTGTACGGAGAAAATGATCTTTTCCTTTAGAGTACAATTTGATACGCAAAAATTATTGGCATACAGGGACCACATACTCCAAAAGGAGTAACCTACTAACCGGCATTCTCCTTTCTTATAAAAGACCTGTAGTATTTTAATTATCCAGAATATTGTATATTGTTTTGTTTACATTGTATATTTTTCATTTTATTTGTAATTGTTCATTCTCTTTTCCACTTTTTTAAGTATTTTAAGTATTGTAAAGTATATCTATCTATCCATCTATCTATCTAGTTAAAAACCCTCGCTCAGTAGAAATATGTGACCAAAAAACACCAAAGAACATTTCAAAACAGAAAACAACAGTTTAGGTCTTGTTTCTTCCATACTATTCATTTCTACTTCAAGCAGTGCCTTACCACGCCCCACCACAGGGCATCGGCGTAGCTGGCGAAGCCCGTCTTGCCCTCCTCATCCACAGCATCCTTCTCCGCCAGGTAGACAAAGTAGGAGGAAAAGATCAGGCCCAGGAAGCCGATGTACAGTGTGGTGATCAGCTCCTGCAGAAACACAGGTCAAAGAGGATTGTATGAACGTGTGAAATAATGCTCTAGGTGTTACAGAGTCAGGTTGGTGACAGTGCACATCAGCATTAACTAAAAAAAACATGTTTTATGTGACCTGTGAGTGACGTGCGGTGAGCTGCTGCTGCTGACTGACGCCAACCTTCCTCGTCCTGCTTAGTAAAGGGTGTCAGTTTATCCTTGAAGGATTTATCTGTTTGAGGTTCACTCTCGAAGAGAAGATTGCAGCCTTATTATGCTGGAGGCGTGAGATTGCACAAGTTGGACATCTTACTGAGTGCTTTCACTTAGGTCACCCACCACCTTCTGCATAGCAGGAAGGATAAACAGGGTTGGTTATTATAGCCGCCTGCTATACAATGGTTTTGAATCAGTTAGGCCTGTGGCAATTCCACCAAAAACCAAACCAATCAGTGAGAGTGTGCTCAGATAAAGAGAGGGGATACCATGAATAAGTCTGAAACATTGAAAAATATTATTTTTGCTACAAACGTGAAACAATTTTCCTTCACATGAGTTTACTCAGCGACACATGACTGGTTTAACATTTGTATGGTTGGAAGTCTAATCCTACAAAGCCTTCTTAGAGATATTTACCTACATTAAAAGTTACACTGTGTAACCAGAAGTCTGCAATCAGTATACAAGCGTATGTATTTTAATACAGTTAGAATCCAGCAATTACAAAGCAAGCCCTTCAATACCAAAATGCTATTCTGTGCACACATCCTAACATGCTAAGTCTAATCCTTTCCCCCAACTTATTGACACTGCTAAAGGCAATAGAGTTCCACTACACAGAGCACATCATTTGATGAAGAGGTCACCTGACAACAGTGAGATGGAAACCAACCACTTTTGGCTCAACTTGAACTAAAAAATAATTCTTGACCTTTGCACGCAATCCTCACTGATCAGTCCGGCTCTGCTCATGCATCAAATAGTCATGAATGTCAGATCCGACTTTATCCAAAGAACACGGTCTACTTCAAGGATTAAGAAAAGAACACTACATCCTCTGACTTCATGTCTATCAGCGTAATAAAATACAAAAACAACCGCCAGGATATGATCAAAAAAGGAAAGGCTACCATGATGATCTCTCTTCCTTTCCTTATAAAGCCATGGGATTAGATGTAATAAGAAGTAAATTACTGCAGAACCAGGAAGGGGGAGTGGGGTCTGTGCACCCTCTAGAAAGATCTACAGCCGAGTAATGCATTAGTAATGGCTTTTGTTTTCCAAGCCATATAATAAGAAATAATGCTAAAAACAAGCAAATAGTTTTACCATTCGTCTGAATTATTTTTAACCTACCTGCCGATGGATGAAGACTACAGATCCCAGGAGCCTCCACGTTCCTCCCTGTCGATCCACGTGTAGCATACGCAGGATTTGGAGGAAACGGATACCCCTGCAACGCACAACAACACCTCATTATCTTCTGTTCTCTGTCCAGCTACATGTATGATATAATGATAAAAAGCAGAACATAAATCGCTGTACCTGATGGCAGAGGTGGCAAACATCTGGCCATTGGACCCTACACCAAGCACGATGAGTGAGGCAATGACCACTATCAAATCTGGGAGAAAAAGAAACACGGAAGATAATCAAATCAGGTTGTAAACATTTCAGATTCAAGGAAATAATATACTAAAGTAAAGCCTAACATTGCTTGAAAGGTCTAAGTCAGGGGTGTCCATACTACGGCCCGGGGGCCAAATGCGGCCCGCGGACCATTTTGAATCGGCCCTCACCAAATTAAAAAAGTATAAGGAAATACAGTATGGCCCACAAATGAAACTTCTGCTTGTCTTATATTGTACTTCTTAAATATATCTGTTCAAATATCTAACACAGTATTAATGTGTTAATAGCCCCAATCTTCTAATAAATTCAGTCAATTCAAGTTGAAAACATTTTCTAACAAATCTAAGTTGATAAGAAAAAAGCCCAATAATAAATGTACATAACCTTGAAATATACCCTTCATATTTTCTCTTATTATAAGCAATCTGAAGCTCCTGTTTTAAGAAAATGAGCTCCCAACACAATGAATGAAACCCTCTGGGATGGAGGCTGTTTGTTTCTTAAAGGAGACCTATTATGCAAAATCCACTTTATCAACCTGTGTCCCCTCTGTGTAAAGAGATTCTGAAAGGTTCAGGAAAAAAGATTCTCTCTCTTTTTGTCCTGATCCATTTATATAAAAACCTGTCTGAAAATGAGCTGATCAGATTTTGGCCACTTTATGATGTCATAACGATTTTTTGGCTTGTGTAACTCCCCCCCCTTATCACCTGAATCTCCTCCTAGAGCACCATTGTGTTCTTTTTAACCAAATCTCTCTCAGAGGGGCGTGGGGAGTGGCTCCTTATTTTCATCTAAAGTAACAGACAGAGAATCAGCACTTTTGAAACAGGGCTGAAACAGAGGGGATTATGGGATGCTGCAATGATCTGTTTGGTGTATGGAGCCAAACACTTCAGAGACATGTTTTGTATATATCTGAGAACTATAATATATTGATGAAAAACAGTATAATAGGAGACCTTTAAAGCATGTTCAAGTATCAAGAATAATTTACCTACATTTGATTGATTTTTCTCATTTATGACTGAAGCTACAGTATGAGGCGATAAACCTCTAGTGAGTGGCCAAGCCCTTCGTATATTTATGGCCTTAGGTGAAAAAAGTTTGGACAACACTGGTCTAAGTTGTTGATCGACAAGGACAAAACAAGACATCCGTTGTATTAAAGTGGTAGCAAAGGAAAAGGCCAGGTGCACCTATGATTGATATGGGCTTCCTGATAAAGCGCAGACGTCCTTTGATGCCTGCATACTTGCTGCGACAGCCTGCCGACCACAGCCGGACCACATACTCTGTGCCAAAGAACATCACCAGCACAATCTCCTGTGGAGGACAAAGCAGACATACAGCAAGGGGTTACATTAATCCGTTGGTACCGAGACAATAACTGTGAAGCACATACAGGATTACGAGAGGATGTGGAAGTAGATAAGGTATCATTTCTAAAAGCATAGATAGCACTGCACCATGCATTAGGACTAATCTAGAGGCATTTATCAAGCCATTATTATCAATCACTTAGATTTATGATATGATATGAATGGGTAATGACAGGTGTGTGAGAGAGAGAAAAGGAGACACTAAGGTGGTCTAGTGGTACTAAGACCACCCAAACATGCATGGGGGAAAGATGGAGGTTGATAATGGCTGATGACAGCTCGTATTGAGACAGGGTCAATGGCTAAGTGATTGAAGCCACACAGAGAAACACCATCACGCTGCTGCCTAACAGATATGAAAGCTAACTAATCAACATGCTATCTTGTTAGAATTGTAAGCCGTTCTGCAGCACTTGAAAAATATAGTTGACTATACTTACTATGAGAAAATGGGGGCTTGATTATGAGTTTTAAATCATATGCACCTGCAAATCAGTTGAGATTGTGCTCCAATAAGTGCCATTATGCATTTGTTTTTCTATTATGAGCACACGTGTTGCCTCTGTGAATTCATTAAGCCTGTCTGACGGAGATCGTTTTTCTGGCCACCGTGCACGCATAATATTTAGCCACCGTACTGTCTGCTGAGCCCTAAGGCCATATGGGTGGTCATCTCGCTGATTGCTTGAACTGGCTGCTCCCTGACCAGCCCTCGTATGAAACTTAATACCACGAGCCCTGCTGCAATAACACAGCACCACAGAGCCCCCAAAACAATGACCTGTCAATCAAACCAGACACTACTTTGGCTGGGAAAAAAACTGTCAGCACAAAGACAAAATGCACTGATGTGAAGTGATAGTTTTGCAATAGACCAGTGAGCATTTTTTTTAAATCCATCTGAGATTTCCATCAGTGTTATCATAGCGAAAGGATAGGAACAGAATGATGGACGGATCCCTTTTGTTGCTTTCTAAAAGTTCAGTTTGCCTGTCTGTTAATGAATCAAGTTCACAAGCTCTGCGCTTGAGTTGTTTGGCATGGGCTGTCTGCATAAACAAAGAAAGAGGAGGATAATCAGGCAGAAATGGTTCAGTAAATCTCTATAACGTAGCCTTAATCAGAATCAATTACCATTTTGTTTCATTTTACTTATGCAGATTTGAATCGCTGAACCAATTAAAGATGTTTGAGAACATTCAGAGTCATAGACTAAGAAGCAGACACTAATTTAGATAACTAAAACATAAGCCAGCCATAGACTTATTGTTTGTGTTGAAAAGTGTCAGACTCGGTTTCAAATCCCTGTCGCTGTGTCTATACAACACTGTTTAGTAAGTTCTTAACTTAATCTTACAAATAAGGTTTTATTTGCACAAATGTTTAATAACCTCTTTGTATTTTGGACAGCAGGAAGTTTCTTTTTCACAAACAAGGTACAAACTTATGATAAATGCATCCTTCTGTAAATACAAAACATATGATGTTGCCAAATAATGTGGGGTTAATATCATAGGTGTGTATTAAATAAATAAAAAGCATACACTTGAACTGCCATACAGTCAGACCGAAACCTCTCACCAACGCTAGAACGAAGCGGTCACTGAGTCCCAATTCATCGAGTTTAGTAATTATGACATCTGGGTTACATTTGAAAGTCAAAGGAACAAATGAATTTGGGGTATTTCAAGGGATTAGTCATAATAATTCCCTAAAGTGGGTCACCCAGATGTTTTCGTATGTGGCAATTTTATGTTTACTGAAAAACAGCCGCTTGTTCACGCAGCGATAATCTAGTCAAGCCAGGCGAAGGTGAAGTTCATTCAAAAAGCTGCTGGGGAATGACGGTATCAGATGAAAATGTGATTAGATTGCTTCATCTGTGTGTCCCACTATGAGGGACTGTATGTATGCACACACGCACAAAGTCATTCATTAAATCTAGATTTTCCTGGGCTTTACAAAGCTTTCGCAACTTATAGATGGAACATCATACAGTAAAATACCCTTGTTATTAATGTAGGATTGCAGATGGAAATGTCAATCCGGTTTAAATTGCACATGCTTTGTTGGAGGCGAGTTATTTATATTTAATATCTCTGATTTAAAAGGTTCTTGTTTTTTGTTCCACTCCTGTTTAACAATTCACAAAACATGTACAATTTGATCAGTTTATATAGCCCAAGATAGAGAGGAGGAGAACACATTATACTTCTTTTACCTGCCCCTTACTCAAAAGTATGTCAGTCAAGGTTGTCGATACTTAAACAATTCAGAGCATTTAGGACTCAGTTCCAACAACTGCAACAGCGATGACCGAGGGGGAACATGGAGGGGGGGGGGAATTATGTACCATGACAATGTCGTGGACCATGGTGTTATCAGTGGTAACCAGCATTTGGATACAGTGAAGAATGTGGGAAATAATTGTCCACACACAAAGACTGACAGGGCATCACATGCACTACCATGCATGTAAACGGAGCACAGAGGAACTTGTGATGTCATTCTCTGCTCAGGATGAAAACACTCCCCTATCTTTACATACTTGTTTGCTGCCATATCCATGCTCTGATTGCTGTTTGTAGGACCTAATCCGATATTTGATATGGATTTTCTTTAACCTCCCAGTCACGAATAATAACACTTGTACCTCTCTACAATGCATGTGTGCACCTACCTGTATTGTGTATACTGTGTGTGTGTGTATGTATTAACAAATATATCAAAACCAGAGTGGAGAAGTGAATTTCCCCCTAGGGTGATAAATAAAGGTTAATCTTCATGACAACAATATTACATCTCATCTACAATTAGTACACTTGTGGCTGTTAGTCAGTGTTGCATTTCTGTTGGAGACTGTTTAACTTTTTACATTTTGGCCTGTATGTGTATCTTCACTGAATACTGTATTGTCCTATGAGGACTCAAATGTCATGTTTTCCTGGTTGTACATTGTGTCTTATTTGAGTAGATACTTGTCCGATTCCACCTCTCCTATAACTTGTTACACTCTTATGATAAAATGTTCACATTATCTTTGGTCATGATTTGTAATCTATCAATTTTTTGTAGAGTGCCTTTAGTAGAGATTTATAGAGTTGAAAGGGGAAAACAGAGGGGCTCTGGCTTCGAACCGGCTTAATAGGCAGCAGCTTGCATATGGGCCACCAGCTCTAACACCACACACATGTACACGCACACACACAGTAATCTATCATTGAATTGGTAGTCAAAAGTTTTTTTTTGTCTTTTTTCAAGTCATTAGGAATGTGTTTATCTAAGCTGCATAGCTCTGCCCATACATGCATAGTGAGGGCACAATAATAGATATGTCATACATTTTAATTCACAAAACAACGAAGAGGACCCAGTCAGAAGAGAGGACAAAGAAGAGATCCATGTCACATGCATGCCTCTGCTGAATGAACGTTTCTGAACCACCAGCTTTACTTTGGCAGCTGCACTGAAGGCCAAATATCCTCAAGGACTAATGTCCCCCCGCCATCCAAAACAAGCAGCCTGTGATTCACAGATGTCAGCTAACCCTGAAGTTTCTAAGTATAGCTACTACCACCACTACACGCCACCATGTCCCCATTTACAGGGCTCCACCCCCTCAAAAGCACACATGGAAGATAAGGTATTATCTTATCTGACATTAATATTGAACCAAAAGCATGAATATACATCTGGACACAGGTGTACAAATAAAAGGTTTGGCAATTTAAGTGGAAAGACTAACAGTTATTTTGAGTGCAGAACTGTTACATTTATCTTAACATCTTTACAGGGCTGATTTCGCTGTTCTCTTGAGTTATAACGCGACAGAAAAAAGATAGAAGGTTGGTGGAAGTAGGAAAGATAGATGGAGAAAGGGAGAGAAAGAGGGTTAGAGACAATGATAGAGAGCAGTTGGCTCTCCCTGGGTGAAAATAAATGAATAACTGTGATGAGGAGAGGTGGTACGTGTGTGTGTGTGTGTGTGTGTGTGTGTGTGTGTGTGTGTGTGTGTGTGTGTGTGTGTGTGTGTGTGTGTGTGTGTGTGTGTGTGTGTGTGTGTGTGTGTGTGTGTGTGTGTGTGTGTGATGATGCAAGCTCTTTGTAGAGTTTCCAAACAGAAGCCACCGTTACCTCTACCCGTTGTAAGCCCTGGACTTCTTGCATCACTTACAAGTCTTAATAGCCTAATGAGACACGAAAAAGTTAATTTACAGTGTTGGCATGCACAGTGTGTTCTGCATAACTAGTGTAATCAGAAAAGGTTAAAACAGTGGCTCCTAACCCATTGTAATAATGTAAAATATGCACACTTGTTTAGTACTGTATGCACACGTGTTGCTCACTGTATAGAGATTTGGATGAATGCGATGCAAGCTGGAAGGTGTTGTGTGATGGTATATGCAAAAACTTCAGTCTTTTTTTTATCTTTGTAAAATCTTTGAGCTAGGGTTTAAGATGGCGGGAAGAATTCCCTCCCAGACAAGATCATCTGTCTCCATCTTGTGGATAAAGAAGGGTACTTCTTTTAAATCAAGGTTTAAGACCTTTTGCCGCTGCTTTCGATTACATCACTCACTCTGACCCTCCTATTAATTAATGCACCTGTTGAAGTATACATGTATAGGTGTGCAGGTTGTTCAAGACAAGAAGAGAATATGATCTGTTACAAACATGTATGCAATAATACGAGCAGCCACTCATAACTTTAGACGTTAGTGATTTATGAAGATGCTTACGGTTGAGCCTGTTTTTGGAGTTGTATGAAAGTTTTATGATGACTCACCATCCATAAGAGAGTTCCGGTGGCAAATTCTGCATATTGCTCTATTGTGGACAGGACACTGAAGATTAGACATATGAGGACCATGACGAAGCTGTAGGGAGAGAAAAACAGTTTCTCCAGTCAGTTATCATCACAAATACCCACCACAGTAGCCAATACATAGAAAAGTAGGAAACATATTTACTATATAGAGTTATTGTTTTAAGAATCTGATTTACTCAAGTATTTATCGGATAACCTGGAATGTACCATGTCTATCATTGATTGTATGTTTCCAATCACCAGACCACACCAGCCCACCACTCAAACAGATACATGGAAACAATTTAGATTAATAAATGATCAAATATTCATTAGAATTTAGAGCATGCCCGCAATTATACATAGAGTATTTTAGTTTTTGCAAATAATACTCTGAAAAAGGAATACAGTAAGATCTGACACTGTTGAAGGGAATGAGAGATGTTTCAGATGCTGCTGTTATAAAGAACAAACATTTGTGTTGTCATGTTGATTGTCAGTAATTTTGTCTAAGAAAGTGCATTTTAGTTTGACATACAAATATATGTTTATAAGTCTTGCAACAAATACATTAACATGATGTTTTTTAACCACAACACGGTCGAGGTTGGACGACTTTGTTTCTGCTCTTCTTTTTGTCATCAATCTGCTTATATTAAGAGCTGACAGGATGTTTCCACGTCCCCTAGCAACAGAGAAACATTCGGACGAGACTGCCCATCTGTCGGTGTGTATAAGTCGTCTTCAAATATAACCATGTGAGTTCACAACTACTACCAGAGTACCTGACTGAAGGTAGAGAAAGAAGGTTCTGTCTGCCGACAGTCTGGAATAAAAACCACCGGAATCAGGGACAGTTTGAACCCACAGGCCATGAGAGTGCAAAATTCCCGAGCTCTGTGAAATGCCATTACCCTCATACAGTATAAAGTAAGCATGTATTGGTTTACAGCTTACATATTTCTTTATTTTCACAACAAGTAAATATAAAAAATATCCATATTTTCCTTGTTTGAAATTAAGCTCCATTTGCATTTCCATTAGATAGTTTGGTAGAGGCTGTTCAAGACCACTTTTAAACTTTTAATGAAGTCAAGTGTCAGTGGAACAACCGTAACTATCACTTAGAAGTGTTCAAACTTCCTCCCCCAGTTACACTGTTCATTTGATTATTCATTCAAAAACATTAAAGAGGCTCATGATGGATTTGCTTGACCTCGCCTGACCTCCCAGGATTAAGAGCCGAGCTTGTTGTGTCCATTTTCACCATCACATTGATAATCCATAAAACGCATCTTTTAAGTGCTTTTACATGAGACACTACAGTACTGTACAGTACTTGAGTGTTTGCATGCACCATTATAATCATGATTCATGATATAGCTGACTTTAATAACACACAGCAGTGGGTGTATTATAATGCTGTGTACTACCAGCTGGATTACATGCCATATGCTGGAAGGGTTATGCAAGTGTCTTGTGTTGCTTATCAGTATTCATGTAACACAGAAAAAAAGAAAAATGCAGAAACGTATATAATTCCTGCGCTAAAGAAAGACGGATGTTGCAATAACTGAGGCCACCATTCAGAAGACATGATTTTTTCTTTTTAAAAGGCCCAAAATGAAAGCATATCACTAAATCAGACGTCCATGAGAGCACAGTAGACACACATCTGTATACACCTAAAGGACCAAGTTTGTTTGGTCTCTCAGATGGTTGAATGAGCGTTAGACAAAGTGGGCTGATGATTGGTAAGGCTCCTATAGGAGGATTCCGCTTAAACACAGACTATTACTTATTGGCCAGATGGGACAGTGAGGATTACTGCTAACACACACACACACACACACACACACACACACACACACACACACACACACACACACACACACACACACACACCACACACACACACACACACACACACACACACACACACACACACACACACACACACACACACACACACACACACACACACACACACACACACACACACACACACACACACACACCTCTCCCCCCCTCACTTGGATTTGGTTTAAAACACACATGCAAGCTAAATGCAATGGAGCATAATCTTGTGAGTGTATTCCGGCAGTGGCTCAGTCAGTAGGGGCTTGGATTGTGAGCCGTAGGGTCGCCGGTCCCCGAACAGACCTAAATATGCAGTGTGGACTGCTACTTGGAGAGGTCCCAGTTCACCTCCTGGGCCCTGCCGTGGTGCCCTTGAGCAAGGCACCGGGCAACCCCCTTCCCCCCCATTGTCCCCTGGGCGCTGTACAATAGCTGCCCACTGCTCCTAGTACTAGACTCCTGGTACTAGGATGGGTTAAAAGCAGAGGTTAAATGTCACTGTGTGTGCTGTGTGCTCTGCATGTGTGACAATTGAAGAGGGTTTCATCCCTCCGATTCTATTCTATAAGGAAACCAGTCATCAACCAGAGTGTGGGCTGAGGTGACATCATCCACTCCCATTTAGACCAAGGTGAGGCAGATACTCAACCCAGGCTGACAACGAAGAAGCTATTGTCTCATCTTGCTCCATTCAACATGTCTTGTAACCAAATTGCTACCATAGGCATGGCCAACGGTGTGTAATGTGTGTGAATGTTAGCTGCCTTGAGCAGGTGGCACCTTGCATGGCATTCACCTGCCTCTGTATGAATGTGAGTGAATGCTTGTGTATGAAAATCGCTTTGAGGAGTCGTAAAGACTGGATAAAGCACTATAAAGGAAGTCCATTTACCATTTGTGCTTCTATGATGTTCCAACCTAGCAAACTGAAAACCGTTGGTCACATCTTGTGTGATGGAATCAAACCTAGGAAGGCCAGTGAGATTGTATGGCTGCACACCCCTTTGGTGACATATGGCACTGAAAGATTTGAGGTGTGCTTGACAACTAAGAACTAGACTTAGAGCCAATCCATCCCTCTTCAGGGTGAACATATCCAATCAAAAGTTTAATATTCAAAACCCAGGACCCCATGTAAAGGCAAATAGGAGCAGGATAGGGCACACAATTGAAGATGAAAATCATTCATGAACAAAGATTTTAAGAAATAAAGGTCGGGTAAGAATCACAGATAAAGGATAAAGGTACTTCAATAATAGGAACTTGCCAGCATGATAATAATATACACTATATTGATTTATTACTGTGTTGATCTTAATACAAATGAGAACAGCCACTGTCAAAGATGAAAATAACAATTTGTTTTATACGTTGTTGCCAGGCAGAGGCATTGCCAGCTTTTTGTGAGGTAAGAGACCAGAGAGGGCAGTTTGAAAAGAGGGCAGGCTAAGACAACAGAAAAATAACATTTCCCTTTAGTTGAAATTTGATTATCTTGTTAGGATAAGCATACATATCATATCATAGTCATGTAGGCTATTGACAGGGTCATGTAATCTGTGTGTTTTCCTCCGGTGCATGGGACATTTGCTGTTTTAGGATAACCGGCAATGCAATATCCATGGGACTCCACATAGTGAACCTGCAGAGGGATGAATGTCAAAAACCTTGAGCTTCTTTGACTTAAAACGAGACGGGGTTGATATCATTCAAGGTGAATCACACCACTACGCTGCTAATGGTATAAAACTGAATTTGTGTTCAAACCTGTACAAAGATTCCTGCCACAAATCAAAACGTACACTCCTTATCATTAATACCTTACAAAAGAATACAGGGTACTAAATAAAACATAAAGTATTATAAGAATATCATGTTTGTTTGGTGCAATGACTAGTATTTCAGTTATAGTTTTTTACTTATCACAGTGCAGTCTGCACTCATGGCTTCAAATTATTTAACTATTCATTCCTCAATATACATAAACATTTCACAAGATTAAACAAAACCATATCAAATACATCCAAACCCAGGGATACATATTGGGTAAAATGGAATTGTTATTAAAAACACAATTTTAAAAGTGTCTTTTTTTTTTTTTTCAAGAACTGTACCTGCAATTTTATTTCAGCCGATTATGCTTTAATGTCTTAGCCCTCGCCTTTTCTACTCTCTATGTTGTATAGTTGTCTTGTCTTCACATAGTAGCTAGTAGCAGTTTCCATAAGCTTTCTGCATTGACACCATGAAGAGGTGTGGCACACAGGACTGGGTCACTCAACCACTAGCCAAGAATATTTAGCTGACCAAAACCCCTGGGATCTGATTAAAACAAAACAGCTGTGGCTTTAGCGAGTATTATTGACTGCAGTGCCGCCCATCGTCACTAAAATAAGTACAGCGTAGAGCAACAACAAAATCTCAATCAATCTGTGAAACTAAGGCAATATAAGCTTAGTAAACATCACTAAATACAGACAGCAGGGACAATGTGATTCCAAAATGAACAGGACATGATTAGTGCACATTTATTAATAGAGACACACAGTTAGCCAACCAACAGCAGCAAGACTACACTTTTAGCTTTTGGGCCAACTTCGGCTTGTTGTGTTTAACTTGAAGTGCAAAGGTTGGCTAAGCATTCACAAATCCAATCCAAATGTTAAATGATGTCTTAACCTCTCTTAATCTCATCCAACGTAGCAGTGGATATCAGGTTGTGACATCATAAATCTCCTGAACTGTCAGATAGGTAATATTGTTTTAAAATGTCTGCAGAGAGCTAGACCAGTTAAGGTGTCCAGATATTAGTTTATATTGATCCACTACAAACTAATAACCCAAGACATGTCGCTACAACATCTAATGATATACAAGTCATCATAACTCTAATAAAAAATTGCAACATCTTCTTACCTTTAACCAAAACACTCACTTTCTTCTCAGCAAGAGCTATTTACTCACACCATTGGAGGTGTCGGCCATGTTTGTTTTACCATCCTTTTTGAAGCTCCAACCTCAAAAAGAAGGCCCAACCACTTTTGAAGCTAGCCCCTAAGTTATTCATGTAACTTAAACAATAAATATGAATGAATTAGAACATTGAAATATGATTAAGCGCAATATCAACATTGCTGGAGGTGAAATATTTGCCTAATATGTGTCAAAAAACCTTCTGAATTCAGTCTATTCAACAATGTGGGGGGAAAA